ATGTCAAGGAACCCGTGAGTTCTTTGGCTTTTCTCGATTTTAGGTTATACGTGTAGCATTTTATCGGTGGATATTGCTCAGTGATGTATTTCAATGTTGCTTTTTCTACGGAATTATATTGAAACAGTCGTGAGACAGATGGATACTAATTGACAAAGCCTTTTTAGTTTATTGCAGGTAGCCAATGCGAGTGAGAGCATTATTTATCCTGTAATATTGTGTGCATAATTCTATTTTTGTTTACTCTTCCACCTTTTGTAGTTAATAATGTGCTGTATAAGTGTCAACGATGGACATGGTCTCGCAACTCGTGCGCATCTGAAAGCGGGAGAAGTAGTCGCACAAATGGACCATTTTCTTAATATGTAAACAAACTAATGTTGTATTATAATAAATATGAACTTTTCATGTAAATCTTGTTGTCTTTCAATTCATGTATTCGCTTTGTGAGCACGGCATGCTAGACCGGTGCTCCCTAGGACTTGAACTCGTTACTATACTTAAGTGTAATTCTGTACGAACACTATCCACCGATATGCGTGGTGAATTATAAGTAGTTTAGTGGCCCTTAAGTCTCTGTCAACAGTTACGTGAAAACGTCTCATAGTCATACGCAAGTCTGTAGGGAACAATGACAACAACAGGTAGAATTTAGGCACTGCATTGCAGTTCCAGTTCGTATACGGTTAGGTGTATTCCAAATCAGTGTATTACTAATATTTAAATTAAAGCGTTATGGCAGTCCCTATGATAACGGGTGTTAACGTATACTGTAAAATTAAGTTTACACATAACGAATAAATAAGTAGGTTGAGCTGTAGCAGTCGTAGTAACATTCCGCTTACGTTTAATTATGCAGTCAAATAAATCATCAAGTATCATTGATAAGTCTGACATCTGCATCTTTTCATGCAAAAAACTTAGTTTCACTCAGATAGAATAAGAAAAGTATTGTAAGCAGGATGTTAAATCTATTTAATGAAAAAAAATAAGCAAATGTCTTTACACAATTGTTTTTCGTAATTATTTCGCCCATGTTGAATTGCTGTGACCAAGTTGACTGACATTACCGGATATCTGTAAATAAGTGAACAAAGTGTATGTTTTTAAATCGCTGAAGTAAGGAAGAAGTAATGTTAAAGTTAAACGCTTTAAATTTCCATATCTTTGCTGAAAAAGGTTCATTTTCCTTTTTCATTCTTTGGTGATGACAGCATTCTTCTGTATTTTTTAATGTCACACAAAGATTGTTCGTCTAATACAGTATAGCAGCAAGCAAATAATAAGTGTTAACTAGTAAACCATTCACAATGAACACTGTACAGAAAACTTCATCACATCTTCATTTTAACCAACTTTTCCTTCACGCACAGAAGCATGCAGTCACTACATACACTCAAGCATTGTAACCTGAACATCACAAAATCCCTACAGATAACTTCTTTCATAATAAATGATTTAAACATATGAGCCATAAGTGCATCTTCCATATCCTTCATAGCCAGAAGTAATTCATTAAGGATCTCAGAATATCTTAGTGATCTGAACACGAACGATTGTTAAGACTGGGATAACTTACGTAACAGGTGCAGTAGTTGTAGGACACACCTGCTAGCTACTAATCGACAGAAAATTGATACTAATTTTAAGTAGTCTGACATTTCAGGAGGACCATCTGCAGTATTCTTCGTAACCCCATGCACACTGATATACACATAATCTGATGCCATTTTTGACAATGAACAATTAAAGCCTTCTGACATTCCAAGTGCAAATGTCAATTAAACTAGTATCATGTCTTCGCCTAAGCAATTTTAAATGGGAAATTCATCTAAGTAGATATAATCACCAGGAAATGCAGCAGCCTGTCTCATTCATTGCATGATCTCTTCCATGTGCTATGGAATATTTCAGTCATCACAGATGATAAAATAAGTGTCTGACATCCTCAAAACACACATCTAACTTATGTCTCTAGGCTATTTCTCTTTCAAATGCACCATTCTCATAGAATAACTGGGATGACAACAGCCATTGCCTGCCGTCAATTTACAACCTTAAGATCTGAAACAACTCACAAAAAACAATGCCTAAATGCTCTAAACCCCTAATAATGGACTTTTTATGCGATATTTCTTCAAAATGATGACCTTTTTATTAGTAATTTGTCTAGGCTGTCATGACAATTTTACGCATTACTACGAACACAATACACAAAAATATTGCATTTTTCGGCTACAGAAGCCTAAAACTAGTCAAATAGAATCTATTTTCACAATACTGAGCGGTTAGAACGTCTCTATAGGCGTGAACGCGATAACCCATGCAATGCGCGAAAACACCTTATCATAGAACATAGCCTCACTCCTATCTCTTGTCCCTGGATGATTGTATTCTCCACCATGTATTTCAGTCTGTACAGACAAACAAATTAACCGCCGTAGGCGAAATGGCTGAGGTTGAATCGGTTTGATGAACTTCTTCTATCCCCCTGAACTTTCATATCACTTTGTATAATACTGGCTATGTGTCTACCATTCCGATTTGTCAGACACTGAAAATCTTATACTCACCAACATCTTGACGTCAATAATTTTGCTACCATACAGTTCCTGGAAAGCTGCAAAAGCCCTTTGACTAAGTTTGGTGACATCAAACCTCTAGCGAAGTCAGATATAACAATGATTTTTATCGGTCACTAAGTCCACCTAACAACTGCCACAACAAGTTGAAAGCTCTCCCAGTTAATACGCATGATATCCTCGGCCACTTAATCACAAGGTGAACTGAACTTAAAAACTTTCTCGATGTAGTTTGAAAAAATTAGCTGATGGAAAATTTTAAAATTGAGTTTTCCATCGCCACTTCTTATTCTTTTCTTGTAATTATTAGATGACATTGACAGCGTGAACAATCACTGTTGCATCTATAATCATACGGAGACCTATTTCTTACTGGCTGATGTCTATTTTTGTGCGTACATCATACTCTTCAAAACAATAGCTTAACTTCATTTTATTCCAATGAAGCTGAGAGAAACCTCATCGGGGCCTGCCATTGATCTATGGCGGTTTGACAACATTGAAGAGTGACCACCATAAAATCTGAGCTTTTGTTTGACCTTCATATATGGCTAATGACAATCAGAGCCCACAGCTCGAATACCTGTGTGGGTGACCACCTTTTTTCTCATGGAATATACCACTATTTCGCAGCCTTCTTGAATAAACCACATTGACTGATCTGAACATAAGTCCATCAAGACTGCTGCATTTGTCATACCAAACTGCCTAAACTAATAAGCAATAGGAATTTCTTAGAAATCTACTGGGGTAACTGAATACCGAGAGACAAAGCCTGGAAAGTTTTATCTTTTTTAACAATTTATTGAGGATACAGACTGTGAAATATGTCTTCATTTTCAGGATGACTGGTTCTTCGTAACCATTGGAGCTGTTCACTGTTATAAGATGAGTCCTAGATGATCAGGTTCGTCTACCGAATCACTAAGAAATCTCTACCAAAAAATCAACCTCACCAGTGCCATACCCTGTCTTGTTAAAACAAGAGATTCACTGAAGAAAATATAATGATTTATGCAGTTAAACGTAGCACATCACTTCACCTACAGGGTCAGGGAAAAGTAGAGGTCCTTAGAAGCTAGAAGGAAATACGAAAGCGTAGTGGCTTCAAGTAGAAAAGTGAAACCATTTGTATGTATTAGTCTCCAAAGCAAGTAACGCACTTGAACGAGTCTGGAGTAAGTAGTGGGTATACTGCATGTAAGACAGGGTTCGTCATGCTCAACACTGTGAGTGTATGTCGGACGGAAGTGTTGACTTTCTCCACATTGTTATACTGTATACTGCGTGCAGTTTGTTTTGCCATGAGAGAGGGGAAACTAGACTGCTCACAGATCACAAGCAGGTACTCTGAGCGCGTCGACTGCACCCTAAATTAGGATATACGTCTCCACACCATCGATGTTCAATCCAGAATAGCTACACACGTGGACACCAATAAAAAGACTATAGATTTGCGAATCCATGGGCCGTTGAGATTCCCGATACATCATCATCTCTCTGTTTGTCGATGGCAGTCTTAAAAATTAGACTGAGATAAAACCACAGCTGACTACCGATGCCTAAATAGTGTGCCGAAACCCTGTATATCACAATTCGTAAGCTGTTTCACCGCTGGTCATCATGCGAAAGCAGACTAACTGCTGTAAGTTGCATATTGTTCCTGTTTTAAATGACATTGTGGCAGAAGCCTGGTTTCCGAATACCTATAGCACTCCTGCGAATTTGATGGAAATTTTGCTAACTGATAATTTTAGGAATTGAATATGAGTAGAAAAGTGATGCTATGCAGTGCTAAATGTGGCTGCGATGCACTGGTGATATACTAGAAGCTTGGAAAATTTGAATACCATGCCAGTGACATAACACTTGTGGTTGTAGAGAAGGCTTTTTTCCTCTTTGACATGAAGTCCTTTTCTGAAATTTTTCTGAAAGTGGAATCGACTACCCACATTACTCATGGATTCAAGCGCATCAAAATGAGGGAGATAACTTACGAATATGCATCACATACCATTTATATGGAAAATTTCACTCACTACAGTGTGCTTAAGTCTATTCTTGGCCTATTTTTACTCTTCTCCACCAAATAAATCAACCCATTTGTTCTTTTTGATTTCGATAGTAAAACTGTGAAAATGAGGAAGATTTACTCGCCATGTTTCTACGTGTAATTTACTGCGTAGTAATTTTATCTTTATTCAGAATGTTTCCAGTCTGTCTGCTAGACTATATTAGCAAGCCAGAGTAACATCACTACGTGGATGCAAAACGTACATTTCATTCTAAAAAGACTGACCCTTCCCCCTACAGAATTTAAAGGTAGTTTAAACCACTGAAATCTGCCAGAGATCCACAATGACTACGGATTACCAGTAAGAGAGTCATGAAGTCACCCCTTCATGAAAACATTGGATAATTTAACACTTCCAAGCCGCCGATTCTAGTTTTGACGCTACGTTTCTCGTATGAGCTCAGGTACGTTTAGCCTATTGTTTACTGAGTTTCGCAGGAACTAAGTCCTTGAAAAGGAAACCTGATGAGCCTGTTAGTGATCAGGCTGCAAATAAACCAACCGACAATACAAAAGGGGTTTCGAAACGTCCCTTGTCTATAAGTCCTATCAAACTAAACATACCTGCACAGGTTGGGTAGTCTTAGTTAATATCGTGTAGATTGCCTCCTCAGGAACCTCTACCGGAAATACCAAAACGTGTGAATAGCAAACTTCGTGAAATCTTCAATTCAGATGAAGAAGTGAGTTTGTTAGATGCCATAGCATACACGTCTTCAGAGTGAAGAAGAGGAAATTCCGACGGAAGCCAGAATACGGATGCGAAATTTAGGAAGGTACTGCTTTGAAATTTTGTTCGTGAGTTCTCTGTATCCGCCTATTTAGTAGGCGAATCTTAGTACTTATCATTAATAGGTGATGAAATATTTTGTAATAGTTCAGCAGCTGTTTTAGGCGTTGATTAAGTCTACAAAGTACTAGGTATAGAAACCGTTTTCGATGCTTCATCCGAATTCAGTGGAGAAGTATAGTTGGACCGATAAGCTAATCGTATTCGTGATAGGTCTTGCCGTTTTATAAAACACTAACTGCTAGCTTGAGACATGTTAGCTGCTTATTTCAAGTTTTTAGGATATTGAGCATTAGTACTTGGTTATATTAGGCATTGACGACTATGGTATTTCGGTCGCTAGTGTCTCTCTGTGTGTAATAAATCCCCCAATTTATCTGCGGTAACGGACCGATTTTCTTGACATTCTTTATCTACTTCACGGGCAGGAGAACAACAGTGGCACCACATAAATGCAGATACTTGTTGACTTCTTTATGTATTGTGTTCAGAGATAATGCATTTTTAAAGGCGAACCGACAGATATCTTGTGTTTTCCGGCATAATTGTTGCATTTTGTCACTATTAGTACAATGGTTAGTAATTGGATCATTAAAATGACTTTATATGGTACCTGCCGCTAGTGCACGTTGCATGTCCCCCACCTCTATACAAGTTTGAAAACGTGGGATTGTTTACTGACGCTCTTATGCATCTTGCTTAACAGGGATAGTTTGGCAGTCTGCACATATGAAATGAAAGGTTTCCCCGGTGTGGAAATACTTAACTTCTAAACTTCTTTATCTACCACCAGCAAGCTGTTTAAAGTAATAAATGGCATCAGCATTCAAGGAAATACTGAATGAACTTGATAGATGGTGATCCTAAACTGATCATATTAATACTGTATATGTAACACTATCTTGACAAGGTTCAGTTACTAGTTCGTAACATGAATTTGACTGGAAGATCTGTGATTATAAGGTCCTACCTACAGTCACTGATTTCATAAATTAATAGTGTCCCGGTTCGGCTAGACTAAACTCTGCATTACGATTATCATGAAGAAGGCGGGCAACTCGGGATGATTGGACTACTGGACGAAGATATTTAACTCTTTTGACTGACTACTCTGTTTACAAAACACAGTACATATGTTAGTACCATTAATCACTCTGCATTTCCTTCACATATAAGCAGTCGTAAACGTCAAATCAGACTGTCGGTCACAGGACGTATGTACTACACAGCAGTCCACCTCCACTATGTTTTTGAAATATGGCCGTTAAAATTAAAAGACCTGAGGGGGTTACCTCTCTTTGATTACAAACGTTCACGTTTTGTTCCCGTGTTAGATGGCACCATATGTTGAGAAATATCGAGTTTAGGTATTGCGGGAAAGTCAGTCGACGGAGTCGAAAAGCTACATCGATTAAAGTGGCTAGTAGGGATGTCAGGGAGCCACTGACTTTTTCGACGGAAAATGCTAGTTGACATAAGATTGAGTTGGAAAATAGTCAGTTGTGGTCAAAACAAAACTTGTCACTGTCCTATGAATTCCTTTGTAAGCTGGTTGGAGCGCTGTAAAGAGGTGTAGACTACTTGGTTGGGATCCTAGAAAAGCCAAGGGCTGATATTTTACTCAATAGTGCATGTGCACTCTCTATGAATCTCTAGATCCGCCATGTTCCCATTTACTTCTTTCTCCCGTACGTTTGTATTTTTGCCTGTGTGCCCTACAGAAGATGGCACCCTTGTGAAAAGTTCTACAGTCGTATGAAGATACTTAAGACTTATATATTCCATCTCCAGGACCCAATTTTTACAACTGTTAAATAAGATAGAATGCATCGACCCTTGCGGTAGATATTTCACCGAGCCGTAGGACTAAGTTCGCAAATGTTACACAAGCTTTCTGTTTTTATCTAGAAATCTTACCACTTATCAATAGAGTTGATATCCGCCGAATGAATGAAGTCAGTAACTTCGGGTCCTACCATTAAACTGTGGGTCGGTGACGACAAGGTTCGGATCTAAATCTTGCATTTGACAAATGCAGGGAAAATGTTAAACATGCCTATTTCCAGTCGATATGTTGAAATCTACATACTTAAATGATTAAACTGAATGAAGGTAAGGTAGATCCTTTCTAGTTGGAAAGGAAGAGTCACCTTGACTAGAACATTTGCAACCTCAATAACTGGTGTATCTAGTTTGGGTTCATAACACTTGGAATCATTTATGCGCATGATGATGGCAACGGAACACTGTTTTACGGACGAGCTAAACATATATACCTAACTACTTTTAGATACACTCCAACTTCTTGTGGACCGAATTCTTTCGGAAAAGGAAGGTTTGGTTTCGTTGATCGAAGGGCGTTGCTTAACAGACAAACAGAAGCGTTAAATGCAGCCGTTTCAGAGGACAATAACCGCTAAAAACCCTTATTCTTAAATAATTTCACAAGGCTAATGACACATAACTAACAATGCTACTTTGTTGTGTTTGGGGTTTAACATCTTTAATATTACTGTATAAAGGAAAACAAAACAAAGATGTAATTGTAATTATGTTGTTTAATTTTGATTATTCTTTTTTTCTTGTTTAAAGTTATTACATATTTACTGATTTCACTGCAAACTTCTTTTCTGTATTTTGCTGGTGGTGACTTAGTATTGCTAAAAGGAGGGCAGCTGAAACACGCGAATTTAGGTCAGCGTTCTCTACGTCATGGTAGGATGGAACATCTCCCCACCGATTAACCTGAAAGGTGATAGGAATACTCGCGTCCTTTAGTTGGGTGTAATTTAGATAAAAATATAAAACATTACTTCAAAGAAATGCTAGTGGAATTCGTAATCGGAATGACACCATCAGCGTACTTAGTATCACAGAGAAAGGTTTATACGAATAATAGAGGGACTTGGGTAATTGCTCCTTTTCAAAACAAAGTCGTATATCGATAAATAGAAGTATTGTGGGCAACTATATTTGTATTTAGATGTGAAAGCTTCGAAAGTAACTTGGAAGAAATGTTGTAACTGCTTTTACCACAACAATAACACATTATCTTAAAATGTATTCTTTTTCACAACTTCCTTCAAGTGCAATAAGATTTACCCGTAGTACTTATTTGTCCAAATATAGTGAGACATCTGATCTTTATTCAACAACAAATCACAGGAGTGGCTTCCCTGAATCGCCTTACATAATACAAGTAAGCACACTAGGCTGTGTTCCACTGATAATAACTTACAAAAGTCTGGCGATACTCTGTAGTAATAATAATAATAAAGAATTCAACTGACAAACTAATGCAGAATATCAAACACAAGTACATCACTTCTACTGATTACTCAAGCTTATTGTAAAGGGTACTTCGAAGTAAGAAGAAATAATACAAAAACATCTATGAAAAGTAATACATTATAAAGTGAATCTTAAGTTGCCACTACTTCATGTTATAGCTTGAGTGCCGTCTTTTGGGTCTAGTGAACCACTGACCGCCTAGATCAATATCTGGTATCTTCATTGAAAAGACGTTTTCGAAACATGTAGATACAACTGGTAAGTAGATAATAACAAGCTACACTACGTGTTACTAGTAGCTTTTTTTCTACCAATGGATAATAAGATGGTACACTGAAACCTTTATGAATGATTTTCAAACAATGATAAAGATATAGACCTTTATTCCATTTACAAGACTGAATTAATCAGCTTGGAGACTAGTGAAGGCCACCGCCTACGAATATTTGGATTAAACAGTACATAGACTAAACCACAATTATTAAATGGGACCAAAACAGTAGAAATTGAGCATTAATGAATTAAACTGACCTGAAATAACATTTCTATCTGACTTAATTCTACAGCTTTCGCAGCAGAACAATATCCATCCAACATAGCCAATGTAAGGTATACCGACTTTAAGTTTTCGACACATGACTTAATACCTACGTTATGAAAGACGAAAAGAATACACTGCGATCATGACTCTACAATATATTTTGTCAAAAACCAGCAGCAGCGATTAAAAGCTATTAAGTGTTGGACAGTTTTTTGTACTGGTTTTGGACTCTTCATCTGTGATCAGTCGTGGACTAACAACGGATTGTGCTTAAAACTACTGAACTTTGAAGTTACAACATCATTCGTCTACCACTCTGATACAGAAGTTCACCATCTGCACAAATGTGCCTCTTTGAAAGGTCCCAATTTGTATTTTTCGACCATCCATATTTGTTAATCTAACATTATTGAAAACATCGGCAGTTTAGACCAACAATAACAATGCAGTACCCTGATTGCGCGACCTTATGACTGCACACACTTCATAAGTCGTAATGTTCGAATAACATAGTAACCATATATGCATATCAAGCTGTAAAAATCAAAATATCTCATCGATTATCCCTATTAGGCTAAGAGATGATGCAGATTTACTGAAAAATCAAATATTTTAGTGGAACACCGGAGACGTCTCTTTATCTTTCACTTACAATAACTGTTTCGCCACTGTAGCACAGTATTATTATAATAGTAGTATGCACATTGATAGAAACCAACTGAACCTCGTTCAAGGAACCAATTACGATAATAAGTATTAATTTGAAATAATTTAGAAACTAATGAAAAATAAGACAAAAAAACAAACCTGTCAATCCCCAAATATTATAACTTCCAAAATGACGAGTCAATTTAGCCTTATCCTCAGAAGATAATTTAGCGAACGACGTCATGCTGTTAGTAACTACAGGACTGATTTGATAATGTTTGCCAATCCAATTAATTATAGGATCCCAGGCAGCAGACTGTATAGCGACCAGGTCATCTGGCTCTTGACATCGAAAACTAATAAAAAAAGGTAATACGTAAAGCAGCTATAAGAAATATTAAACACACTCATAGAGTTTTAGACGATACATAGGTGTCGTGTATAGAGTAGTTGGGACCTAAACACCTATGCCTGCATTAGGTGACAAGATGGAACTTGGTAAAGGCATACGATTCCTGAAGTTTACAGATACATTGACCTGATGAGTGCCAAGAAATACAAACCACGTTTTGGCATTTCCACTAACTACTGTTGACATCAAATCTGTCATAATATTGTATCCCTTGACTTAATGACTGTCTTGCACATATGGTCGATGGGTTACAACTGGCTCAGTTGGAGTCAAACAGCTAAATTAAGTACCACCACTAACCCATTTATTTACACTGATATGTCCGTAAATCTCAATGGGTGTAATCCGCATACTTGACAAAGTATATAGCTTGTAGAATCCCGAAGTTTGACAAATAATATTCCGGAACAGAAAACCAGATTCTGACTGCAAGCACTACATTCTAATTTTTTACATAAATGACGGGTGCAATTTTGGACAAAGACAACGGTAAGCATATTTTTCGAAAAAACAGCAGCCTAACACGAGTAATTTTTTGTGAAACCATTAGTTAATGCGAATAAATGTCGAAGTAGGGAGAATTACTGATCATTTATATTTAGGAAAATTTCAAATCTTATTTTAAGGAGGTGAATAAAGGGTACTTGAAGAGGAAGTGGAAAAAGGATATAGACTAAAGCAGAGCTTTGAAGAGTAATTCATCAATTCAGAAAACTACTATTTTAAAATCACAGGGAAAAAGAAATTGAAGCAAAGGAAAACTAACGTAAAGTTAAGTAATTCAATAAAACCTACGAAGGCAGAGACTGCGATGTAGATATCCTTCAGAAGTTGGTGAGTGATTTAAAACAAAAACGTAGGTCAAGAAAACGCCAAAGTATTTTAGCTCAGGTGGATGCTTTTCATGTGGTTGTGTTCGCTGAGCCGGCTACTTTAATTGAAAAAATAGGATTCAGTCTCATAGCGCTGAGTCCCAGACGTTAAAACAATTTTAGTGTTACTTCGACTGTCAATGGTTTCAGCCAGCGGTCTTGTAGATGAGTGATTTGTAATTATTCACTTAGTGTGCATTCTAGGTAGATCGTGTAGTTCATTTGGCACAGCACCAAATCGGTTACTCGTTAAAATGCCATCACTGTAAGGTATGAATTTCTAATTCACTCATCCTCCCTATCTCATTTCTTACTGAACATCTTAATTTGGCTGTTCAAAAATCCTTAGCTAAATAAGAAAGTAACAAATTATTTCATAAATGCAAATAAGGTATTTACCATATTGTGTCTGAGTCGGCATACTGCATGACTGCACCAACCAAAACATCATGTTCATTATCTGGAGTGTCCAATGCTCTATTGCATAGTGTTGTCTATGAAGTAAAAGATGTTTCCAATAGGAAAATATAAAAATGAATCAATAAGAAGTGTTAGGTTAAAGAATATTCGAGCGAGAAAAACAAAAAAACTCCTGGCGTTGCAAAGATAAATAGGTGTTAAAATTAAATATGACGCAATGCTGATATAACATGGTTCTGTTAGGAAATTACAATCCAACACCGTGGTAAAGTTATATTTCTATATTTAGGCTTCAAAGAATAAACCGTTCCTTGACACATAAGAAGATCGACGTAAATCTTTAAACAGTAATATATATCGATATATACATCGTTATTACGATATGCAAAATTACTGCTTGCTTATTCCGTTTCAAGACAACTTGGAAGACCACTGGAACTCTCTGAAGGTAATTTTCAACGAAACGTGTTCAACGGTTTTAGGAAGAAAGAAGAGACAAGACAAGGAATGGCTCTCAACGGACACTTGGAAGCTAATAGAGGAGAGGAGAATGGTGAAAGAGAAAATGATTCAATGCAAAGATGGACAAGAGAAAGAGACGCTGAGCTCAACTTACACAGCACTGGACAAAGAAGTGAAGAAGAGTGCCAGGAAGGACAAAAGACAATTCTACGACAACCTGGTTACTGAAGCTGAGAAGGCAGCAGGCAAAAAGGACCTAAGGACACTATATCAGATAACCAAGTCTCTATCCGGGTAGAGATCAACACAATTGAAACCTATAAAAGACAGCCAAGGGAACCCAATTACCAAAGAAGAAAGACAGATTAAACAATGGGCGGACCACTTCAAAGGACTCTTGGACCGACCACCATCTACAACCCGTCCGGAAATACCAACAACAGCACGTACACAACTGCAAGTTGACGCCGATCCTCCAACGAAAGCTGAAGTCTTGAATGCAATCAAGCTTCTGAAAGCTGGACCAGGTGGAATACCCCCTGAAGCACTGAAAGCGGACCCAGAAACGACAGCAGATATGCTGACTCCATTATTGCAAAAAGTCTGGAAGGAGGGAAAAGTGCCTACTGACTGGAGGAAAGGTTACCTCGTGAAACTACCAAAGAAGGGCGACCTAGGACTCTGCAAGAACTGGCGAGGAATCATGCTCCTGTCGACGCCAAGTAAAATCCTGAGTCGCATCATCCTGGAGAGAATAAAGGACGCACTGGATACAGAACTCCGACTAGAACAAGCTGGATTCAGGAAAGGCAAATCATGTTCTGACCAAATTGCAACTCTACGCATCATCA